TTCAATTAGGTTTAAAGCAGGACTATGGGCTGGCAACTGCATAATGTTGCCACCGTTCTGCTTTAGGAAGTCTTGTGTAGCTCTGGCAGTATGGGCCCGGGCATTATCATGCTGGAAAATGTTGTTCCGGTGACGTGCGAAGTGTGGTATGGCGTGGGGTCTGAGAGCTTGGTCGATGTAGCGCACCGCTATGATGCCGCCTCATCTCCCTGGACCAAGGTTCTGGAACACCACAGGACCCACTCTCTGGTTCAATCCTATTGCACCTCCCCATGAGTCTTTTTCCATAACACATTGGTCTGAGTAACGCTCGCCACGTCGTCGCCATATTCTTGTTCTGCCATCTGCAGTTGATACGCAGTACCGACTCTCATCTGTGAACAGAACAGTTCTCCATTGCCAGTATCGCCAGTTTTGGTGTTGTTGGGCAAACTGTTGACATTCACGCCGATGACGAGGGGTGAGGAAAGGTCCACGGTAAGGCCTACGGCAATGGAGGTTCCCACTGTTAAGACGTCGGCGTACTGTATCAGTACTGAATCTTCTGATTGGTCTACCGTGTGTTCCCCCTGTCTGGCGTGCTGTTTCGGATGCCTGCATGAAGGGATTCTGTACATGCTGTCGCACAGCATGGTGGTCTTGTCGTCTTGTGGTCACCCTTGGTCTGCCAGTACGGGGGCGATCATTTGTGGTGTTGCTGGCCCAGAAACGTTGCTGCAGCCTGTAGGATGTCCGAACGTTGACCTGGAAGTGATTGACAACGGCTTGTGCAGGGTGGCTAGCTTCAAGTCTTCCTAACGCCTGGTTCCTCTGAGCTGTCGTGAGTCGCGGCATCCTGCTGACGTTGGAATGTGAATGTTTCAACCAGGTTTGAAGGTGCAGTTTATAGGGCTAGTCCTTGTGAAAAGCACGTGCAGCATGAGTTGCATGAAAAACTTGGAGAACACCGTACCATCTCCGAGATCAGGTTGCCTTTATGAGACCATTTCCTGGCTTCCATTCTGAGTTTGGGAAGGAATGTCTTTGTTCAGGTAAAGTTGGGGATGTAGTCAAAAATATGCAATCAAAACATTAAAAGAATTTACATTTATCCGTTTCTGCGAAAATTCCAAACTGACGTTTCTTTTGCTGCTTAGTATACTATCAGTAACGCACCACCAACACACAAAATCAGCAATCTAACCCCCTCAGATCAGCCTCCGCACCTTCCACGAAAAGAAGTGTAATCCCAAATATAACATATGTTGCATTTGACCATTTTCTAAAAGGCATTGTGTGTAGAAATCTTTCAGTGGACAATCTGTTTTGAACTAAATGCACGAAATCTAATTTTATCTATCCCAACGACACTGCTGTATTATATACAAGGGAACAGTAATATTCAAGTGGTTGACAAATAGCTGCTATCCTTTAAAAATGACCTGAAGAGCGACATTCAAAAGACGTGTTACGTTTACGCTATGGCGTCTACACATTTTCAGATTATGTCACTCGGGAAAACAGATCACCTACATGAAAATGGACAGCATTTACACTAATAGTCCATACAGGAACTGAAATATATCAGAGGCGGTAAATATAATAACATGTAAATATTTGTCTCCTAAATTATAAACGTGCTTTTATTATACTTTAACCCTCATCACATGACAATGCAAAATACAAGTACAAAAAAATAACAGTGGATTTTTATAATAAAAAAACCGATGTTTGTTTGTTGTTATACGCCCCACTCAGAAATACTCGAGCTATAGGACAACGATCTGTAAATAATCGAGTCTAGACCAAACAATTCTGTGACTGACACCATGAGAGTCTATGCAGTTGGGATATGGTGACTTGTATCAACCAAGTCAGCGATCCCGTTAGTCACCTCTTACAACCATGGGTTGCTGAAGACCAATTCTAACGCTGATCTTCGCGGGCCAACTACGCATGAAAGTCTTTGATCATAAACAATAGTCTATATTTGAAGAGAATACTTTATTGTATTCATTTAGCAAACAACGGTATCAAAACCTTCACAGCATGAATATTCCTCCCCGAAGATGTTTTAATGATCAATTACTATATCAAAATGTTAATGTCGTGTGACCAGGGAGGAGTATGGAAGGGCCTGTTGTAAGCAAACAGATATGGTGGTTCGTTATTGTGAATGATCCATACCTGTCCTGGCTGTCTTGGAGGTGGAGTGGGCGAACTGATCTGTTGCGCTGAGAATATTACAGCAGGGCTGTCTGACAAGAATAACGTATTTCTTGTCACAAAACATCCCAGACTAGGACATTTGCTCAGAGGGACAACATCCATCACGGGGTCAGATATGTACCTTGGTGCAAAATACCACAAGATTATTTTGTTAGCATTTGCTGTCCTGATTGGCAAATGTGTCAATGCTTGCCCCTGGAGGATTAACACCAACTGATGGCTGGTATCCAGGTAACACCAATAGATGCATTATATACAGGTAACACCAACTTTTACCTGGTGTACAGGCAACGCCAGCTGATGGCTGGTACCCAGGTAACACCAGCTGACGCCCGATACCCAGGTAACAAGAATAGATGTCTGGTACCCAGGTAACACCAATAGATACCTGGTATCCAGGTAATACCACCGGTTACCTGATATCCAGGTAACACCAACTATGCCGTATCCAGGTAACAACAATAGATGGCTGGTATGCAGGTAACAACAATAGATGGCTGGTACCCAGGTAACACCAATAGATGCCTGGTATCCAGGTAATGCCACCTGTTGCCTGGTATCCAGGTAACACCAATACATGACAGGTTTTCAGGTAACACCAACTTATGCCTGGTAACCAGGCAACACCAACTAAACAATGGCATCCAGGTAACACAAACCGATGCCTGGTACCCAGGTAACACCAACTTATCCCTGGCATACAGGTAACACCAACTAATGCCTGTATCCAGGTAACACCAATTGATGCCTGGTACCCAGGTAACACCAATTGATGCCTGGTACCCAGGTAACACCAACTAATGCCTGTATCCAGGTAACACCAATTGATGCCTGGTACCCAGGTAACACCAACTAATGCCTGTATCCAGGTAACACCAACTAATGCCTGTATCCAGGTAACACCAACTTATCCCTGGCATACAGGTAACACCAACTAATGCCTGTATCCAGGTAACACCAATTGATGCCTGGTACCCAGGTAACACCAACTAATGCCCGTATCCAGGTAACACCAACTTATCCCTGGCATACAGGTAACACCAACTAATGCCTGTATCCAGGTAACACCAATTGATGCCTGGTACCCAGGTAACACCAACTAATGCCTGTATCCAGGTAACACCAACTAATGCCTGTATCCAGGTAACACCAACTTATCCCTGGCATACAGGTAACACCAATTGATGCCTGGTACCCAGGTAACACCAACTAATGCCTGTATCCAGGTAACACCAATTGATGCCTGTATCCAGGTAACACCAACTAATGCCTGTATCCAGGTAACACCAATTGATGCCTGGTACCCAGGTAACACCAACTAATGCCTGTATCCAGGTAACACCAATTGATGCCTGGTACCCAGGTAACACCAGTTGATGCCTGGTACCCAGGTAACACCAATTGATGCCTGTATCCAGGTAACACCAACTAATGCTTGTATCCAGGTAACACCAACTAATGCCTGTATCCAGGTAACACCAACTAATGCCTGTATCCAGGTAACACCAATTGATGCCTGGTATACAGGTAACACCAACTGACCCCAGGTGTTCTGAAAACTCAGTCTGACGCCTGTTGTTTATACGGGTCACTATGTGTTATCTGGAACATACAGGCTTAACCCTTTTCACCTTACCTCTCTTATAAACATTAATTTTTCACCATAGTATTCCCCGCATGGATACGCAGCTATTTCAAGTTGGCAAACAGAAATATTCAGTTCCCGAACACACGTGTTAGCTTGGGGTATAGGTTAAATTGATTATATCCATTTTATTAATTATAGCTAGTATTCCCAATTCAGTATGATAATACACGAACGTGAATGCATGTTTGATCAAGATCATCTAAAGTGTAATACTTCTCTAATGTGATGCATGGCATGATATAAGACATATGATATACGATGCATATATCAAGTCATGATACGATATAATGTGATGAGAAGTCAGGATAGCGCTCTCTCGAAAATGACTTGACAAAATCTGATGGAAATACCGCGGACCTCAGTCTTCTTAGCGGAGTAAAACATAATAATCCCTCAGATTCTGCTAGAAAACCGATAAACCGCTCACCTGTTCGTTTTTGTGCACATATTCATCTTTTTTTTAAAGATATTTTTTCTCCGTGGCGTTCAAATATTGCAACCGACAGTGGGTTACTTCGTGTAGATCCTTTGGGTTAAGCTCCGCTTATGTTACTTTCATTAATGGATCCCCTGCCGTCGTGTACGAATAAACCCAGTTCAAAACGAGGAAACGTTTGAAGTATGACGGTCCGACTGTTTGACTCAGTTGATTGACCCACATAATGTAAAGATAGTGTATGCTTCGTAAGCAACCCAATTTCCAGAATATGAATGTACATCATGTACATCATTTGTAGAAAACATTTATTTCCAAATACGACACTATATACATTTCCACAAAACATCTGTTACAAAATGCTTCTTAAAACATTAAGAGAAAAATACATTTGTTGGTATATCAGAATACAAAAAAACATTGGTAAAATCGCCACTCGCCTAAACAGTTGGGCTGTCACCCAAGTTAAGGATACCGATGACAAGCAACGAAGTCAATTCATGGTGTCCTCCCTCGGTATATAGAAGGAATGTTTCCACATTCGTCTTACAAAACATAACCAGCGAGCTCATTCACTCATTATACTGACTGACTGAATTTGGTTTTACGCCGCTGTCAGCAATATTCCAGCAACATCACGGTGGGGGACACCAGAAATGGGCTTCACACATTGTACCCATGTGGGGATTCGAACCCGGGTCTTCGGCGTGACGAGCCAACGCTTTAACCACTAGGCTACCCCACCGCCCCTTATAACTGACTGGGAGCAACGACAGGGAAATGAGACGGGCAATCCTCTCTTATCTCCAGTTCACCTAAGCAGGCATGTGGTCCTCGGAAACTATTGTCTTTACGGCTATTAGATAGGTCAGACCCAGTACTGAGCTGCGTCCCGTTGGCGTGCCAGAATCCTTGTTCGACTCCAAGTTAGTGAGTGTGGCTTCACTTCGCTTTTAGTAATATTCTAGCATCATCACGGCGGGGTCTGCAGAAGAGGGCTTGAAATATTGCACCCAATGGGGAATCAAACAAGGGTCTTCTGCGTGACTAGCGAACGCTTTAACCACTAGGCTACCCCACCGCCCCTCAGATCCAAAGAAATGATCATGAACCTTGCTTTGTCAAAACGTTATCTGTGTATCTAGGTTTCACTGCAGTATTCAAGTACGGATGACATCACACATTTTTCACACTTAAAGCAATCCATATTCAAACATCAGTTTGCACAATTACACGTGAGTTGTTTCAGTAGCAGCAAACACACGTTGTAGGAAACACATGCTGTATCTTTTTAATATAATATCCAAAATTAATACAGCATTATTGTTGTCAAGGCAATTCTCTGTAACATGAAAATCCCAAATAGAACCAGCAATATCGGGCTGAATATGTCTGTATGGACACCCGTCTTCTTACGTAAGGCTTTTCTTTGATGGTGTTCATCGAGTAAATCACTTGTTGATCTGTGTTACTAAGAGACAAATTCAGGTAACGTTCAACTGCGTGTCGATAGTCGGCTATGAATGTCGGGAGAGTGTACTTTGATCCGAAAATCATCCCTCCGCCAAGCCACACCCGATTTTCCTTAAATATAGTATCCACCTTCACGTCCATACTCACATCGTACACTTTGTTCATTGCGATTTGAAATTCGTTGAAATCTTTTGGTTTTACTATCACAAACTCCTTCTTCCGTCCAACGATGTATCTAAAATATCCCAAATCTATCCAGGCAAAATAGGTTGTGTTGAAGTAATTTTTCTCTACGGTTTCTTCAACAGTTGCATATTTAGCATGCTGGGCACATGAATACTCCGGTACAACTGTGTTAGGGTGGTGCTTTGGGTAACCCGGGATTGAATATATTGTTTTAATCCGTTCAACATAATTAAAGGCCCACACTGATTTTCTATTCACCAATAAAATCTTTGTAATGTTTTCATATCCTGCTCTCATCTTTCTGAATGTTTCAGCAGTATCCGATGAATCTGTATAAAACACAAAAGGGCTTCTAATATATTGGTACACCTTCGCCCACGTCATGTAAAGGTTTGCGTCAAAATACTTTCCGGACCCTTTCTGAAATCGTTCCAGGTTGAAATAGGCTGTGACAACTGTAACCTCCAGCGGCTGAGATTTGTTGTAGAGTTCAAATTTATCTTTGGGAATTATATGTCCAAAGCAAGGTGGCCACTGAAATGAGAAGAAAAATATCATCCACGGTTTTATTTCATTTGTACTAAAACATGTTATAGAATTCAGGACATTGATCACAAACCTTCTTTCAGAGGCATCTAGAAGTTCAAACACTAAGGAAGGACAGCACAATATGGATGAACACTTCATCACTACATTTGACGGTATTAGAACCTACACCGAAACGTTGCTCCCATTGGAGTATGGAAGCTGTTCATCCTTATATTGTCAGGCGCGAAGCAAGCCAATTTTTTTCGTGTAAGGCTGGATTTACACTACGTCCGCATTTAGCCCGATAGGTTGCAAAGCTTTATATTTAGATAGTATTGAGGGCTTGTCCAACTTGAATATTCTAAGTCACGTGTAAACCCGGGCTTTTTTTTAAATGGTAGCAACGACCCTGATTGTTGTCATACTTTGATGACAAACCATTGACTGAGTTAAGTTACATCTAATTAACATCAGATTTGTAAATTTCTTCAGCGCGATATACCTCTTATCATTGAACATGGTCACTGGTCAGGAAGAAAATACATCGATAAGACTGGTCTGTATGTACTCCAAAGTTGAGCCTCAGTGACTGAACATTCATTAGAGCAATTTGAACACAACATTTGTGTTAACTTCTGACCCTTTGTTGGCTTCCTCGGAACGAATTCAAACTGCTTTCCTGGCAACAATTACATCATCATCCTCTATATACTGTTTCACATGGCCTAAACTGAGTTTGAGTTAAAATGTATAGTCACATCGGCAGTATCGTGACTAAAACAAATTCTAAATTCATGATAAATACAGTTAAAATATATAAAAAGAACTGTCGAGGAGGACAATAAAAACAACTAAAGTATCACAGACACAGAATTTAAAACTAGCATCTATCTCTACAATTTGGTTTCTATCAGAACAATACAACATACTTTGAAAAACAGGGGCTGTAGAAGGTAGATGGCTGCACTAGGGACCATGGCTACCTTTGCTTCCTGCATTAACCCTAGCTGGATTTAAACCATGCTTTCAGCCGTTAGCTATTGTAGTCAAATTTAGCCATCATTATACATCACGAACATACTCCGTTAACAAATCTGGTAAGCTTAAATTTACCAAAAATGTTTTGAGATTTACCTACTCTCACGGGAGGACAATAAATTTACAATACTTTAACCCCATGTGTGCTTTACCGACAGATCTACATATTTGTCTATCAGTTTTCGAGATGACGTGTAATGTTATACAGCAAATATAAAACGCTGGCCCGTGCCGAAAACATAACTATTAACTGTGACTGACCAAACAGCAATGAATTACTGAACGAAGCGTCCCATAAATGTAATTGTAGTAGAGTTGTCGCCCTTGGAAAAGCTACATCAGCTGATAAGACCTTGCATGTAAATAATGACGCCGGGTTTTGCAGCTGTAGTTGCAATTGATTCAGAGACAGGAAAACCGGACTCTCTGCACTTTCACAAGTAAAATGTAAATCTATAGTCAAAATGATAAATCATAAAGAAATTATGCATCAAACATAACAGTTGGCGTAATAATTCTGACTTGTTGATCCCGCAAGTAGATCTTCTCCCGCTATTGATCCTATTGTCAAGTAGCATTACAGCCAAACAACCAAGATAAAGGATTGCCGTATATAGTTGATATCATCACAGTCAAATCCTGAGTGATGTGAATCGAACCTAGGACCACGGTGTGACAAGCGAGCGCTCTAACCACTAGGCTAAACCTCCCCCCACCCCCACCCCTCTCTCTCTCAGATGAGGATGTCCAGGAACAACCGGCGTGGAATCAATAGGAAACCTGGTACAGATGTTTCACTTTAGATATATCTGACCTGAGAAATATATGAACCAATATTCAACTATAAGTCTTGTTATCACTATCTTAGACAGGACCTACTTCACAGTCATGCTCCTTGTAACAATACGACTATAATTCACTTGTTCACTGAAGTTATAACGTACGTTTCAGGGACATTTCGCGACGGGAAAATTCCTCACGGGTTAAATCCTCACTCGAAACAGGATATTTCCCCACCCCCAGCATTTTAAAAAATAAATAATACAATAAAAAAAAGAAGAAGAATACAATAATCTTAAATAACACTTACCACTAATTATAAGAAGGCATGGGAAATGAATGTTGACTGCCAAGTTGTCTAACTTATAATAAACAGTTTTTAAGACGGATGTCATTTTCGTTTATGAGTGTCGATCAACTGTTCATTGACCAAACTGAAAGTTGAGGCTTGAGATTATGTTTGATATGTTCATTTCATTCTCTACTGGCTACCGAACAGTTATCGGTATATCTTGGCGGTATTTACAAAAGTACTTCGCTGTTCGTTAACTTAATGAAACAAAATTAATTATGATACTTAAGTAGCTATTCATCGATGTGTCCACCCCGTTCATGAAAACAAAAATTATCTAAATAGTGGATCATGTTTTTATATAACGCAGCGGAAGGGAATCATGACAGTATAAATGCATGTTTTCTCACAACTAACTGTACCAGTTATGCCATTCAGAATTTCTCATGTCATTCGTGAAATGATTAATATATATTTATATCATACAGTAACCTCGAATAATTGATTGTTGACTATTTGAGTGTTTCTTTTACAGTAGATTGAAAGGGAATGAAACGATTAATGACTTGTGAACTTGATCTTGCTATTATATAGGTCGTGGGACATCCCCCCGACTAAGTTAAAAAATATTATAGGGTTCATAACTACTAGTATATCTTTATTTTTCTCTTATGTTACTTGCTGTGAATAATTTTCTTTTGCTGTCCTTTAATGTTATCAAATACTGTGGGGAAAAAATACTGGAATTGTAATTGACCGGAACTGCCCACGTGTGATACTGGTGTATTGGCGATAAATGTTTCGCTAGCCAGTATGGGTAATCCTTCAACTCTAAGAGAAGTCCCCAACCAGTTCCTGCATTTTATAGCAAATGTTCAGGTTTGCTTGCCTCTGTGTTTATCATTGACAGCTTCTAGTCGGTGACATTTTAGTTAACTTGATAACTGATATTGAATTCAAATATTCATATTATTTTATATACTATAGTCCGTTTGGCTCAAAGGCGGACCGATGAATTGCAATCTAACTCGAAAACTAATAAACAGAAAATACTCAATGAAACGCCGATCATAATCAAAACGTCAGACCAACTCTGTGAGTTTTTTTCAGAATGTCCTAAAAATAAAAAAGTTGTTTAACAAACTATTATTAAAATATTGACACAGTTCACTATTTGTTACGAGGGAGGAGTGCAGAGAAAGGGACAGCCAGGTGTTCGAGAAAGGATGGAGAGGGCACAGCACAGGTTAATGAATCAATAACTTTGTCGGTACTTGTGCACGTGCTTCTCTAACACCTGGCTGTCCCTTTCTCTGCACTCCTCCCTCGTAACAAATAGTGAACTGTGTCAATATTTTAATGATAGTTTGTTAAACAACTTTTTTAATTTTAGGACATAAATTCTGCAAACAAATCACAGAGTTGGTCTGATGTTTTGATTATGATCAGCGTTTCATTGAGTATTATATGTTTATTAGTTTTCGAGTTAGATTGCAATTCAACGGTCCGCTTTTGAGCCAAACGCACTATAGTAAAGGCAAGAATTTATTGATGTCACCTTCTCTATATTGTTTCCTGGTATATATAACTCCTTCATTGGCCTGATGAAGAGTAAGTATAAACTCCGAAGCATAGTGTCCATCAGAATAAAGAAGTTGACATCCATAAAGTTCTAAATGCCATTCATAGACTCTATATCCTAATAATCGTAAATTATATTGATATATACCAAGTGTTGTTTTATTTTGTATCAGCTATATATTCAGTCTGGAGGAATACACACTTTGGAACAGTCTGGAGGGGAAATCTCATTTATTACACATTAGATTATTGGTATAACTTACCTGAGGAGACAGCAAATAAATGGAGATCAGAGATATACATGTGGCCGTGATGATACACACCAAATATCGAATGTATTGGTTAATTCTCCTGAGGGGCAGCATCAATACCTGGCAATGGAAAGAAAATCCTGTAAATATACTGTAAATACTGCAAATCATATATTTTTGTATGATTTCTCCATGTACTATGTCATTATATATATGTGTTGTTAACTAAACCTTTGTTATTGTATACATGTGTAAATGTATGTAAAATTTGTGTATATGTTGTATACGGGCCTGTGGCCTATAGACAAAAAAAAAAGACTTTGACTTTGACCTTTCTACCATAATAGATTTCTATTTTCATGTGGACTTGTTTAGTTATATCGTTATGTCAGGTATACTGAACAGGGCGGACCCAGAGATGGGGGCTCTCCTTGGTAAACAAGCTTCGTTCGTCTACAGTAATGGTTCACGGTGAAAAACTATCAAAGTTAGAGTAATATTTTTTCACAAATATGTTGTTTAAATGTCAAGGTAATCAGATTTCATAATAAACTAGGCCTTATAAGTTCACAATTTTATTTCCGATTAAGGATAGATCAAGTACCACGGTACAACGAGGTCGTAGGCTACCCGTGCTGACAACGACCCCTTCATGTCAGCGATTTCTTTAGCTGTCTCTACAAGTATGGGTTGCCGAAGACTGATCTTCACAGCTTCACCAGTGTGTATTCCTTTGCCCGTTGAACGCAGTAATTACAAATTCGGTGATATATTGAAAGGCAAAACCCGAACCACAAGCTATAAGGAGGAATATGACGACACACAGACATTGTAAACAGTAGGATGAGGGTTCCATTTTGCGATAAAGCTATCTGTTGACTGAGATGTTTAACAGTAGTCCATGGCTAGCAAATACCTAAATACCTACATCGGCCGGTAAACTAGTAATAGGGGGATACTTGCCATGACTAAAACATGTTGCGTGCACGTTGTCATCCGTGACGCGAAGGTCAGATTGAGCACAGATAACTCTTGCTGTTATATGAAATTTGAGAGTTACCCGCCCATTGTCAAAATATTTTATGTACGCTTGTACAAATCCTGTTATGGGTCTCGAAAACAAGGAATGATCAGTGATCAGTGTTATGGAGATGTCGGTATGTCTGTCGACTAGTGCTCATTTAGACAGCATTTCAGATGTAACAATAAATGCAAGAATAAAGAATTAACATGGAGACAAAATCACGGAGATAACGGATCCTTCGACGAGAGTGTATTGAAACTAATGAACAATTTTGGTGTAAATTAGATTTGAAACGAGACTTTGAATGTAAAAAGAAAAGGGGTTTCCAAAATAATGTTCTTGCATGGTATTCAGGTTTGCAGGGTAATAACAGTAAAAAAAGAGCATTAATCTCAGAGCATTAGGATTAAAGGCACAATGTCACACCACATTTCTCTGAAAATAATGCATTTGTCTCAATAATAGTAACAGCTCTCAGGGAAGCTCCCATATAATTTATGCCAATAATATTACGTATTTAGATTACAATATTAAATTAAAAAGTTCGAATGAAATTAATGCAACGCCCTCTACCGGTCGAACATTATTTCAAGCGAACCCTATGGAGTTATGTCCCTTAGAGCGCTCTTTACGAATATCCGAGTACGCACTTGTGATACAACAACGCGTGCGACAGTTTTCTATGTACGGAGCAATTGTTTACATTCAATGTGTGGCAAGTGTTTCTGTTTGGAAGCTGTTCCCTTCGAAGTTTCAATTATCGATAATAAGGGATAATAAGTCTTTTGTTGCGTCAATAGGAAGATAATGAGAGGGCATATGCCCCCGCTATATTGAATATCTGCCAAAATATTGTCGAAAAAGCCTGACATTGTGCCTTTAATTGTTATGTACGTAACCATGTACAGCGGATTGTGTGAATCTTGGTAACGGAATTGCAATTGCGTTGTCCAAAATAAGACGTGGATCGATTCTCTTTGAATGCGACAAATATCCCCAACCATTAGAGTGAGTGAGTGAGTTTAGTTTTACGCCGCTTTTAGGAATATTCCAGCAATATCGCGGCCGGGTTTCACACATTGTGCCCATGTGTGGAATCGAACCCGGGTTCTCGTCGTGACGAGTGAACGCTTAACCACTAGGATACCCCGACGCCCTCCAACCAATAGAAGATAGACTGTATATGTACAGTACAGTGTGTCAAAGTTGTGGAAGATGAAAGCAACTTTCTCATCTCCTGCAACTTTTAATTTGATCAATCTAATTTTTAAATGATATAAACCTGAATTTAGCCATGCGTTTCCATGCACCATGCAGCATGACCGTTTACAGACGATCCTAACAATTATCCTCGCTAACATGTACATGTTCAGACGCAGCCATCTTACAAATAATACTGAGAACGTGGTATGAATCAAGTATTTTATCTGCAAGTTGTATTTCAAATTACTCAAATGTACATTTACCGGTGCTTCGGGCTTAAACTGTAGTTAATTAATGTCAAGACAAATGTATTCATTTTACGATACGGTAACTGTTCAGTGCAGGGTGACCCAGTCTTCGGGGTGATTTATAAATTAATAATCGCTATAACTACCAGTTTACAAACACCTATTAGGTTCGCCATCGGAAAATGTCCACGAATCAAGGACGTGTTGGTTGTTTACGAGTCTGTGCTTATCGATGCGACGTTATTACACTGCCTAATGCATAAAGCAGATTTTCCAATACGTGACAGTAGCACCTGTTGTTCTTGGGTCTGTAAAAGCGCCGATTATTGTCACAGTATCAATTCTTTTCGTGGTTTTCGCTGTCCGCAGAGGTAGTTCGTGGACATAACAGTGACAAGACAAACATAAGAGAGTTTATGATGAAAATTCTAAACTGAATGAAAGATTATTGCTAATTTGGGAACGTGCCTTTCTGATTAGATAGAACATTCTACGCCAAGTACATGTGTTTATTTGTTTGCGAGTCTCACGAGGTACATGTCTAAAACCTCTCCTCTCTCTCCTTCCTCTTCAAACTAATAAACGTTGATGTTACAGAAATATTGTGTAAAATGTTTAGACATGTTAGACATGTTAGACAGTTCCGAGTTAACTTAAAAGCTCTGGCAAATAGTCTGGACCGGAAAATCCTTTGGTTGACATCAATTGCATCGAATGAATGAATGAATGAATGAAGGAGTATGGTTTTACGCCACCTTTAGCAATATTCCAGCAATATGACGGCGGGAGACAGCAAAAAATGGGCTTCACACATTGAACCCATGTGGTAGTCGAAGCCGGGTCTTCGGCGTGACGAGCGAACGCTTTACCCACTAGCAACTAGCCCCAAAAGCAACTCCATTTCCTCGCTGGACAGGTTGTCATATTTCGCGTTGAAACGATCATTTTCCGCGATCTTGTTTCGACACTCAGGAGGGTGTGTTACGACGTAAATTGTAATAAAAACGCAAATTGTAATACTTGCAGCAAATTGTAATAAACTTGACGTAAATTGTAATAAAAACGTAAATTGTAATAAAAATTGACGTAAATTGTAATACGCAAATTGTAATAAAAATTGACGTAAATTGTAATAATTTTCGTTGCGGTAAAATGTAATAAATATTTACGTAAATTGTAATAACAGTTTTAATCACTCGTAAATACGCGGGTGTTTGTTTTTCGTCGTATTTCATACATTAAATAAGCTTGTTAGGGCGATAACTCAAGAAAGAAATGATGGATTTTGTTCAAATTTGGTACCAAGGTATATCACCGACACAAGTGAAATGGAGTGACCTTGAGATAATTTTCAAGGTCACAGCAAAAATCTGAGGGTTTTGCCAATATAAAGATTGTTAGCGCGATAATCCAATAATGAATTGACAAATCTTAGCTAAATGACGAAAATGATATTCGTCCTGATATATAATCGATATAAACTGTCCTCTGTATCATGTCTTTTCGCAAATATCTTTTGAGGTTTTGATATGTATACATATAAAGTGGGGGTGGGTTTCTAACGGGTATATCTAACACACTTGCATGCATGTAGAGTCGGAGAGGTGGGTGGGTGTTCTAACGGGTATAACCACGAGGGGCGTTCAAATAGTAGTCAGCCTCACCTAGAAAATGATACAAATGCAGCTGTTTTTATGTTTTATTTTTCTACATATTATCTGTCAGCCTCAAGCAAATTGGTTTTGCTATGTTGCAGCCTCACGATCCCATTTTGTGAGACTTTGTATCTTGGCTTGGTACTCCCAAAAACGTAAAATCTGCGATAAAATGCATCACAAACTTCAGGAAACAAAATATGCTATGTTTGAGATTGGTAGAAGTCGGCTAGAATCAAACTTAGATATAAAACTGCACAAAAAAGCAATTTGAAACTACAATCGCTTGTTCAAATGACTCCCCATTCTGTTTACTGAAAGAACTCGAGAAAGAAATGATGGATTTTGTTCAAATTTGGTACCAAGGTTTATTGACAGGAGATTGGAGATTTACCGACACCACTTGAATTTTGTGACCTTGAGGTCATTTTAAAGGTCACAGCGAAGGTGTAAGTTTTGCACATGCCAAGCGTGGTAGCCGCGAACTCAGGAATGTATTAATAGATTTTGATCCAATTTTATATCAAGGTGTATTGGCGGGATTCCCCCAACACCAATTGATTGGGAAACTTGTGGTCTAGAAGCCAGACCCCCCAAATGGTGAAAATGTGGTGCAGTTCTGGCGACCAAACGGGATGTGATTTTTCACAATCAGGAATGATTTAGCTTTGATTTAAAGCCGGTTGTCATCAGCTACCGTGCGTGACTACCGTACAGAGGCCCTGTTAAGGTGCAACATGTCATGTCAGTTATGGCAATATTTTAACCGATAACTGGGTGGTTTAATTTAATAACTTTGTCTTGGAGTGACCGATTTTCATCAAAATAGTAGTTTTGGAATGCTCAGATCATGATTGAAAATTGTGGACAATAATATTACATATATGTTCATCGCAAAAATATTTTGGTAAGGTCAAAGGTCAATTTTAATAGAAAGGGCATTTGATGAGAAAATATGAGTTGAACTTTACAAATCAAAGGTAAT